TTCTGCTGCTTGTGTTCCCAGTCTTGATTGCCTTGTGTGTTCTACCTGTTTGCTCTCCCGCACAGGTCGTTTACGAGAGTATAAATGTTTGTCAGTACTGTTCATTCTCTGTCGTATCATCATCGTGTCGAGTTTATTCCTGTTTGATTTACGTGTTGCACTACAGCCCTTGGACTTTCTTTGATCTGTGATTCTTCAATAAATGTCACAAACTACACGCTAATCTCCGGTGTCTTCGCTAAATTGAAAACATTGAAAAACTCACTAATTCTTCTGTAGAGATCAGTTGTGAGAACAACATACCTCTCACTACAAAACCTTGTGCCAATATTATTATGGGAAGAAGGCAAGCCGGTGGGGCGGTGTGAAGCTTTGGGCAATGTTCTGCTGGGAGACCTTGGTTTATGTGGATGTTAGTTTTACCACCTATACCTAAGCATGGTTGGGGACCATGTACTCCCTTTCATGGAAAACATGGAAAGCAAAAATGGTTCAGGAATGGTTTAAGGAACACAACAAGTTCAAGGTATTTTTGACCTTTGTCCTCCAAATTTCCCAGATTTCCGCATCTGTGGGGTGTGCTGGACAAACAAGTTTGATCCATGGAGGCCCCACTTTACACTTACAGGACTTAAAGGATCTGCTGCTAATGACTTGGTGCCAGATATCACATCGGACCAGGACTGTTTTGGCAGAAACCCATTTTTTCTCAGGTTTGTTTAAGATACGAGTACTTCTTTTTGTCATTCTACAACACTGGGCTGCACAAATAAATGAAAGTTGTAGCTCTGTTCACATTTCACGCAGAACAAAGAAACAAATATTTAAAATTAGAATAGACATGTTAAAAAGTTATGTATAACGTCAAAGTAATTTTATTTGTCATATACACCTAATAACATGGCATCAGAAAGCATCGCTGTGCCACCACCACGCTTAACTGTGTTCTTATCAGTGCTTCATTCTTCCTCCGGACATACTGCTGTTGCCACCAAGTCTTGCTGCAGGTTTTTTGCAGTGACTCATATGATCTAGTTGCAGCCATTGTTTCCTTTTCTGCAATGTCCAGGTAGTGTACTCTGAACTTGCAAACTATGCTTCCAACGGTGTCTCTAGGAACATTCAGCGCCTTCACTATCTTTTGGTATCCTGTTCCTTGTTTGTGAAGGGCGATGATCTCTTAACTTTTTTGACCATTCTTTTGACCATATTTCTAACACGCAGTCCAACACGACACTCAACAAACCCCTAGTTCAGGTATTTCGTGTGTTCCAGCTCAAGCACCCCTGGTGCAACTAATAAAGCCTGTTATTCGTTGCATCAACACCTGTTTAGCATATTTGTGCTGTTGAGAAGGATTCTATTATAATTTTGAGACTGGAGAAGTCATTACAAGTTGCATTTTCAGGTGAATTTGGGAACAACTTGATGCATTTTTTGTGTTTAGCTATTTCACTTGCTTTTGTTTAATTTGTTCATTGCAAGTGTGAGAGTGAGTCTGGTAGAGCGTGACCTGATGTTCTGGTAACGCTCTACCAGAAGGCCGCATTGTGAACAGACCATTGTGGTCTTTTATGATGCTTCATGCTTTTCTAAAGCAACGCATGAGGTCAATGCCTTGCACAGAGAGAAGATGGCATCCGATGATATGCACGGCTGACTTGTTTGTTTCTGTACACTTATAACTGAAAAAAAGCCAGTCAGCAGGATGAGTAAAAGGTGAATTCCAGGTTATCATTCACTTGCTTAACAATCTTTTACAGAGAAAACTTAACATGTGGCAGGAAAAAAAACATTTCGATAACAGACCATAGACTGTATAAATGGACTTAAACATTATTTTAACAAACTGAAATGCAATATATTTACTATATTTTGAAAGCAGTTAGCAAATGTAGAATGCTAACATTTGCTATTTTGCACTAAATTGTAGTTCAGAGTAAAATATACAATGTTTATGCGAAATATGCGATTGATACTGATGGCTCAACAACGTCATGCCAGGAAGCTGCCTAGACCACCCTGTTTGTTGTAAAGTGATTTACGATGACCCAGAAATAACAATAGCTTGTGGAACGCATGCCTGAACGTTTCACATCTACACAGAGGAAGTGGCGAGCAGACCATGTACAAGTGAGGCGTGTGTCAGCAGCAGCAGGAAAGGATGAAGGTCGCTGTGTTCTGTCTCAGCCTTTGTAAGTAGCATGTTTTCCTCTCTGTGCTTTGACTTAACAGTAGATCTCAAAGGAAGTTTTATTGGTTAAAACTCATCAGATAAAAAAAATGTCCTGAATCTACTCCTCTCTCTCTGCTGTGTGTTTTTTTCAGGTGTGTTTCATTCACGTACCTCATCTGATACCAGAGAAGAAGGTAACCAGCTCGTTACATACGGTAGTTTTTGTGTGATTTTGTATGCTCTACTAAAATAAAGAACTATAATAAAGGACAGTAAAAGGAAGCCAGAGTCACAAACCTTTGACATTGAGTTGTTTAAGAAGAGGCCGCAGCAGGAAACTGTGGCTTCTATATCCTTCAAAGTAGAGAGTGACATGAGTGACTCTGTGAGATGCAGCTTTATCTTGTTTTAGTTTCTATTATTATGGTTTAGCTCTCACGGCAGCTTCTTATATGTCTGGTCTTCGTGGTTCCACTTTCACAAATGTGCTGCTTTTCCTGTTAATTATATTTATTTTTATTTGTAATATTGTTGAGCTTGTACTGTTGGTTAGACAAAAGAAGCATTGTGAAGGTGTCATTTCAGGCTCTGGGTAACTATGACGGCACTATTTTCAGAATTACGAAAATCGATTAATGTAGAAAATAATCAGCAGATTAATGTCATGGTTTTGGGTTTTCTTGTCTTATTTTCTTTTTCAATGCCTTTTCCCCTGTTTAGTTTTGTTTATTCTTATGTCTATTTTCATGTTCAGCTTATTTCCATTATCACCATTTCTGTTTCTTTCCCTCAGTTCTTCGTCCTGTGTCTTAGTTCATTCAAACAGCTTCTCTGTTTTCGTTCTGTGTCTTAGTTCTTAGATCTGTTTAATACTTTGTTGTTTCCTGTTTAGATTTTACATCTATTCTGTTTTCTGTTTCCTTCATCCTGGTCAGTTGTCGTTTGTCTTCTTGTCGGTATGTCTTGTCCATGTCTTCATCTATTTCGGTATTTTAATAGTAGTAGCCCCCTACGTTCACTGCCTGTCTGTATCAAGTAAAATTTTTGTCTGAATGCTATGTCGATTTACTCACTGTGTTTCAGTGTCGTGCTTTGTTTCCTGTTTTGTTTTGTAGTTGTCTGTGACTAGTTTTGATTCCCGTTCTGTTTCATTACCTTGATGTCTTACACCTGTTCTGCTTTCCTGCCCCGCTCGTTTGCTGTTGTATTGTCATGCGTTATGTTGTCTGTAACTCTGTCGGATCTTTTGTTGGCTGTGTCTGTGCCTCACTTCAGCCCGCTGAAGTTTTGATTATTGTTTCCGTTCTGAACCCTGGGATTTATTTTTCGTCTCAGCGTTTGGATTTTCTGTTTCTGGATATTACTTTTTGGTTACCTTGACTCTGCCACACTTGTTACGTTTTTGTTTCAGTACTCATTCTGCCGGCTCTGTGTCTTGCATTTGGGCCATGTTCCTGTCTGCACTTGGCGTAAACCCTGACAATTAATCCATAATGAAATAATCAGTATAGTTAGCTAAAAATGAGCTCCACCTCAACAATTACAGCAGTAAAATCCTGCTTTTTGTTTCTGCAATACTTTTACGTTTAATACCTGGTATACTTACATACTTTTACTTTTACAGGACTTTTACTTGTAACAGAGTATTTTTACAGTGTGGAATTAGTACTTTTGCTTAAGTAAAGGATCTGAATACTTTGTCCATGACCGAAACACACTTGAATTATTATTGAAGGGGCAACCTGTTTATAATAACATTATTTAATAAATTGTAAAGAAGGTGACAAGCTTACTTTCAGGCAAGTGCTCCTGTTTGTTCACGTCTACAAAGTCTTCTGTTTGCTTAAGTAGCATATAAAAGTCTCACTTTGGCATCATGTGTCTGTTTCTTGCAGCCGCTCTGAGCGTCCTTCCCAACAGATCCCAGTTCTTTCAGTACGAGTCTGTCTCTCTGAGCTGTGGGCAGCAGGTAATCTCTTCTGAGTGGAGCGTTAAGAGGAACACATCCAAAGACACAAATGAAGAGTGTTTCAAATTCTGTGGAAGAAAATATGAATCCCACTGCTTCATCGCTGACCTTTACCCATCAGACACTGGAGTGTACTGGTGTGAGTTTGCAGCAGGAGAGCGCAGTGAAGCCGTCAGCATCACAGTGACCAGTGGGTTTAAACATTTACCTCCATATGACACAAAATGGTTGCTGGCCTCCATAACTACGTAGGCTTACTGTTTCTAATTCTCAAAAGCAGGTTGGGGGCATCTAGTTTAAGAAGGAAATAAAAAACCGCAGCATATGTTCGATGACAAAAAAACTTCTTGTGGTGAAACAGACTGTCCTCTCTCAGTAGCAAAGGTAGACAGAGCATGATGTTGTTATGAGGCCACATAATGTTTTGACTTGAGTTGTCAAATTATTTTATGGATACCACACTCTACCTTGACTATTTCTGTTTGTATGTCCCACAGTGTGTGCTGTATCAAATGATCGGAGTCAAACAATGCCTCATACTGGCAAAAAAACAATGTTATAAATGATCATGTGTAGACTCCTTAAAGCTTTGTGAGCTTAAAACGTCCTTCCTTGTTTCTGTCTGTCCCTGAGGTGGCTTTGTGATCCTGGAGATTCCTGTCCTTCCTGTGATGGAGGGTGACGATGTGACTCTGAGCTGCAGAAACAAGATACATCCCTCCAGTCTCACAGCTGATTTCTATAAAGATGGACTTCTCATCAGGAGCAGCTCTACAGGAAACATGACCATCCACAGTGTCTCCGAATCTGATGAAGGATTCTACACGTGCAAAGTCTCTGGAGATGAATCACCAGACAGCTGGCTGACTGTCAGAGGTGAGATAATAAGTTTCATCTGCTAATAACAAACTGCTTTATTTTCCAACTGAGGCCCATAAATTGAAAAGTTATTTCAGGGGGTGTAATGTGCAGCAAAACATGCACAATATTAAACAAATTATATCACCTTGCTTAGCTTGCTGACTATTTTCTGATTTGGGGGCACAGTTGGGTCATCTACAACTGAACATTTAAATTAACCTTAATTTAGTATATAGTATAGAGCCGATAAATAGGCTTGCCTTCCATCCATCCATCTTCAACCAATTATCTGGGGTCAGGATGAAGGAGCAGCAGCATCAGCAGAAGACCCCAAACCTCCATTTCCCAAGTCACATTAACCAGCTCTGACGGGGGAATCCTGAGGAATTTCCCAGACCTATTCCTATTGTGGAAATTTAATCTCTCAACCTAGTCTTGGGTCTTCCCCATGGCCTCGCCCCAGCTCGACATGCCAGGGAACACCTCCCAAGGGAGGAGCCCAGGGTCCATCCTTCCCACATGCCCAAACCACCTTAACTAGATACTTTTTGAAACAATGGAGCAGCGACTTCGCAGTGACTTCCACCAGAGAAATTATCAGCCTCCAGCTCTGCCTCTACCAGAGAGGGCGTGTAAGTGGGATTCCTTCCAAGTGTTCCTTCCATCGCCCAATTACTCCCTCAGGAGAGTTCAAAAAAGTCCCACCCTTACTGTAAACAGCTTGGATAGTTCCGCGTTTCCCCCTCCTGAGGTTTTCCAGTAGCACCTTGGTGCAAACCGAAAGTCCTTCTCCATGGCTTCTCCGAACCTCTCCCACATGAGCTGTTTTACCTCTTTCACAGCAGAGGCTGCAGCCCTTTGGGTCCATTGGTGCCTTGCAACCACCTCCGGACTCCTCTTTCATTCGGACAGTTTCCCTGACCATCGTTGTCAACCACGATGTTTGAGGGTTAATGCCCTTTGAGGAAGCTGTGGGCTCATGGTCTTACCTAGAGACTACAGCTCCTCGCTGCAGCTTCATCAATAGAAGCTTTGAACATTGCCCACTCAGGTTCAATGCCCCCAACCTCCAAAGAAATGCCAGAAAAGCTTAGCTGGAGATGTGTTGAAGATCTCCCAGACAGGGGCCTCTACCAAAAGTGTCCAGTTCACATGTGTATATCATTGAATAGTCCCCCCCAATCAGTAGGTGTAGGAAGGCAAACCTCTCGTCCAACTCCAACGTAGTGGCGCTCAGCCGGGCACTTGTGAGTATGGAGGTGGTTGGATCGGTCAGAAACTGAACTATTACCCATAAGTTTGTTTCCTGTGTGAAACAAAAAGTCAATACTCAACTAACACAACTCTAAGGGAAGAAAGTAACAGTATTTTAAACCAAACTGCGATGTTTTCCTAAACCTAACCAAAGATGTTACATGACATTAACAACTGAACATTGCATACATATTATTTCTAACTTGACTACGGAGCCCTACATGTCGAAAAATAATGCTAAAAGGGTACACAGGGCATTAAAAAGTGACACCAAGGTTTCTTGACCAAGTTTCCACACGTGACAAGATCAGAGTCAGAATGTGTTGGTAAAAATCAGCTGGCATAATGAGCTTTACTTTTATACTATTGCTAACAATGGCAGCAGCCTCTTGGATTGATTTCATTTAATTTCATGGACACAGGTATGTATGTCATTTGATTAGTTTTAATGTCCCTGCAGTGTCAGAGCCAGCAGCTCCTGTAATGCGTGTCTGCAGACTGATTCATCATGTAGTTGTAGGGACTCCTTACCTGCTGTCCACCATCGTACTGGGACTCATATACAGAGACAACAGAAGAGGTGAGAACGAACTCTGCTGATTTGTTTGGGTGGCTGTAGTTTCTGTTTTGTTCATTCTTCTACTGCTCCGTGTTTCTTCTTCTAGTAGCACTTCAGGTGATTGCAGAGGACAGAGGCCATCATGTCGTCATGGAGGTGGAATAGATTACAAGACCACAGATTTTGTATATTATAATGTTGTTATGTGTCTGTACTTTTTAACATGCATCTTTTTCATTTGGTGCTCATAAAAGAACAAAGGTTTTTTCATGGAAGTTAGTTCCCTGAGACAAAATGAGTGGCAGGCAAGGCAGGAGGGATGCTGAGTGCCCGGGGCAGAAAACAAGTTTTGGACCCAATTGCAGAACACTAAAAGCAAAATTATATGAGATGGTTTTTTAATATGATTTGGCGCCCCGACCTTTCATAGTTTACCGCTGATAAATAAACCGTAAATAAGGACAGCTGCACATGTGCATTTGTAATGATTACATTGCTATCAAAAACTAGCAAGTTGCCAGCTTTGGTAACACAGTCAAACATCAGCAATGGCAACAACAAAAGACAGCAATATTAGTAACTAGTCTAACTGTGTACACAGAAAAAGGGCCAGCTCGGTCTCTGTCTCCCACTAACGTCCGGGAGCTTCTTGCCTTGGTCACTCTCTTTAACTCTTCTTAGCTTCCTCTGTCAATGTCCTTTTCTGTCTGTTTGCCTCTGCCATTAGCTAATGTTATGTCCATAGAGGCTGCAGAGCCCAGTTATGTTGCCAGCTCAACCCTGGTTCGACACAAGCACCGCTGTCTACTGGCAGCAGCATAATGTCGCTTGAAACTTGTAAGCTAGCCAGCAACCGACACAAGAGCACTTACAGTAATGTTACCGATGTCCGAGTGTGTTATCTAGTAACTTTGCTAACGTCAAGTCTATATTTATCTGAAATCTCTGGCTGATTTTGCTCGTATCAACAACTTTGCTAACTTCAAAACAAAAAAAAAGTGCAAAAACACACAACATAGCAAGCCAGCTAATAAGTTTTTACTGTCCAACAGAAAAAAAGCCAGCTCGGCTTCTCTACTGCATCTTTTTAGCTCTTTTAGCTCACTCCACCGTGTAAAAACCTGTAATATATTTAAGCTACTCTTGTCCGGTCACTTGCAGAGCTAGCTTGATCCAAATAACTTACATTGGTTATTATATACTTTTTACTCCTTCTTATAGCTTGTAGCCAAAGAGTCGTCTTGGTGCCGTATACCATTACACTGTTGTTATGATAAATGTTCTGCCCAGGTTTTCAAAGTTACATGGCACGATATCTGGAGTAGGAGTGGCAATGAGAGAGACTCTATCACCCTATTACAAGTCAGTGTAGCATCAAAATGAGCTTGAAGATGTTATTTTAAGATAAGAATACGACATACTGTTGTTTCAAACACAGCAGGAAGTGTATACCAGTGTATTAGCAGTATTACTTTACTGGTTATTTTAGTTTATTTTATTTTTCTATTTTTCTTTTAACTGTAAGTTTAAATTCATAACTTTCTTCCTGCTGTTACCTTGTATGTTATTTTGTTTGCTATGTTTTATTTAGTTTGCTCTTGTGAAAGCACTTTGTAACATTGTTTTGAAAAGTATTCTATAAATAAAGATTATTACATATTATTACATTATTATGTGAAAATTACAAACTTTACAACTGAAGGTTGCAATAAAATGCAACTCTGGATGACAGGCACGTGAAAAACATATATCCAAAAACTCATGGATCATAAACAAACGGCGGGGGTTCAGGCAGACATACAGGTCACAGACGTCACACGACGGACTGACAAAGACTACAGTGAACAACCGGACAATATATACTGACAAACGCACACACAAGCAGGTAGGTAAATGACAGCAGGTGAGACCCATTAAGAATACAGAAGACAGGAAACAGAGCAAGACATGAGTACCCAACACGGAAAATTAAGACAGGAAACTGGCACACTGACTGAACCCTGACAACTGTATTTACATAGCACATTTGATTACAGGTTGACCCAGTATTGCTGTAAAGTGCACACAGCAACAAGTGATATAAAATTATAATAAATAACATAGTACAAACATTAACAACCACTCATCATCCAAAAGTAAAACTGCACAGCCATCCCACAGAAATGTTGAATGAATCAACTAGTCTATGATGTCTGGCAATATATACAGCCCTCTGATCACACATACAAAATTACTAACCATGAGCCTGAAAAAACAGAAAAGTTGTCAGTTCACACTAATGTTTTGCTTATCTAGAATATATTCTATATTCAGATGTTGCTTAGAAAAGTTTATTTATTTGTTTGCCTCTCTCCACCACTCATTTTCCTCAAGTCACATCTTTTAAAAAAGAAACTTTGTCCTGTTGTGTGCCTCCCTCTAGTGTTGAAAACTGGCTGAACAACCTAAACTACAGTAGCTGGAATGATGAATGATGTTTTAAACCTGCAGCCCAGACTTTACATGAATGCTAGAAAATAAACCAAGTAGGGATTTTGCACAGGAGCCTTTGGGCTGTAAATTCTTAGTGAGAAAAAAAGCCAGAACCTGTTCGGTCCTGACTATGAAAGATACTTCTCTAGTACTTTCACTGTAAAACACTGTGGTAACCACAAGCAGACTGGTGGAGACACAGTTAAAATCACAAATCACATCTTGTGTTAGATCAGGTGATGTCCGGCAGCATATGTGAGATGGTGCTCCACATGTGTTAAATTCACATTTGAGGATCATAAAGTTCCTAAAGTCACAGCAGCAGGCAGCTGTTCTCATAAATAAAGTTAAACTCTGATAAACCAACAGTACACTACTTTCTCATGACTAGCTGGTGAACATAGGAACATAGGAGAAAATTTGACTTTCATTCATCAGGTGGAACAAACACGATCCATACGAACCATTAAGGGGCTGCTGGATGTTTAAATAAGCCAAAGTAAACAAATTATTTATTGATCCATACTAATGGCTTAATAATGTCATGGCAGGCAGCTTTATGGACTGTGCTACATCGCCTGTAAAGATATACAGTGACCCAGAAATAATAATAGCTTGTATAACAAATGCCTCAACATTCTCACCTACACCAAGGAAGTGGCACAACAGACCACTATGCTGCCTTCAAATGGGCAGAAGAGTCCATATGAACGCCCCCCTCTTGTGGTACTCACATTCTTGTAAGTGGAAATCTTCTTGAAGTTCTGTGAACACGATCACACGTCATAACCACAAACTCACAAGTTCCATTTGAAAGCAGCATCAGTCAGACGTGTGTCAGTCAGCAGTGAGGAAGGATGAAGGTCGCTGTGTTATTTCTCAGCCTTTGTGAGTAGCATGTTTTCCTCTCTGTGCTTTGACTTAACAGTAGATCTCACAAGAAGTTTTATTGGCTCAAACTCAGCAAGTATAAAGCACCGTCCTGAATCTTCTCCTCTCCCTCTGCGGTGTGTTTTTCAGGTGTGTTTCATACTCGTGCCTTATCTGACACCAGGAAAGGTAACCAGGTCTTTATGCATGGTTGTCTTTAACTAGTTTTTAAAGGCTCCAGTAAAATAAAAAAAACTTTATTTTAAATTCAGGTTTTCAGTGGGGTAGAGGAGGCCAAAGTCACAACCTTTGACATTTGAGGTGTTAAATAATAAGAGATTAAGAAAGAAGCTTTGGCCTCTACAGCTTTATCATTACAAGTTTTTAGTTTATCATATTGTCTTTGGTCTTTGACTGTGGGCAACATCGGAAGCTTGTTCTGTACAACATGTACTGTAGCCCCTGCGACTTCTTTGGTTTCAACTTTATAGCACAGCATTGTAGACAGGTGGCGAGCACTCATAAATTAATGTTAATTAAACTCAACGAAAAATCTTCACAGCTTCCAAATGACAACACTGAATGTAGTTTTTCAAATGCATAGATCATAATTATAATCACTTAATTCAGATTTCAACAACAACAACAAGACATAATTTATTAATCCTATCCCACATCTACAAACCTTAGTTGTCAAAGGGTTGTACCGTTCTACGTTTAAGCATTTGATAACAGGAAGAACAATTTTCAGTAGTTAGACCTGACAAGTTTAGCACTTCATAGGAATCACAGATGAGAGGAACTTGAGTTGCTTTCTAAATATAGGCTATTGGCTTTTACACGTTCTTAGAGAATATAAGCTACACGAATGGCATTAGATTATTGACAAGATAAATACGGAGTGACATTTGTACATAATGGCATTTCAGACGATGGCCTGTAATACTTATTTTGTCCACTTGGAGGAGCTCGGGTTACATGAGGATAGCTCTGATTAATCCTAAAACAATCTTTGCTCAGGAGCTGGGAATTCAGTTATTTTAACCTTAATTTTGAGCTGGAAAATAATAGAGTATAGGATGACATTTCTTTATCATATCCTTTCTAAAGGAATTGTGTGAGAAAGTATTGTGAACAAGCATTGGTTACACATAAAATGAAGGAGTGTCATTAACCTTGCTGAAAATTAAAACACTGCAAAAGTAACTTATTTAGATTCTTTTCAGCAATAATATCAACAACAGATAGCAACAACATGGTAACATAACTACTCAAATAGAGGCAAATGTAATCAAGTAACTAAAAGATTATTTAATTAAACAAGGTAATGCTTTGAGTCTTGGGAGACTGAAGTCTTTGTTTACACAAAGAAGTTCAGGGCTGTCCCTGGTGTCCTGGAGTTTCTCCAATTTGCATCTGGCTGTGAAAGGGAGTATCTCCTTTGATGTGAGGTAATTAAACGCAGAGGAAGGTCAGTTGCCACGGTTACATGTTTGGGGGGGCAGTTTAGGGTTTCCTGCCCTTTCTTTAAGACACTTTTTTTTAACACCATCTAAACCAAATAAGTTTAGCTTGGTCTCATCAGACCACAGGACATTGTTCCAGTAATCCATGTCCCTAAACTGTTTGTGGGCTTTCTTTTGCATCCTCTTTAGAAGAGGCTTCCTTCCTGGACGACAGCTATGCAGACCAATTTGATGCAGTGTGCAGCGTATGGTCTGAGCACTGACAGGCTGGCCCTCCCACCCCTTCAACCTCTGCAGCAATGCTGGCAGGACTCATACGTCTATTTCCCAAAGACAACCTCTGGATATGACGCTGAGCACAAGCACTCAACTTCTTTGGTCAACAATGGCGAGGCCTGTTCTGAGTGGATCCTGTCCTGTTGAACCACTGTTTGGTCTTGGCCTCCATGCTGCAGCTCAGTTTCAGGGTCTTGGTAATCTTCTTATATTCTAGGTCATCTTTATGTAGAGCAACAATTATATTTTCAGATCCTCAGAGAGTTCTTTGCCATGAGGTGCCACGTTAAACTTCCAGTGACCAGTATGAGGGAGTGTGAGAGCAACCATGAAAAACCATGAAATAAATCTAAATGTTCAAGTGATGTTCACTAGGCCTACCGTGTGTGAGATGGTGTTCCCATGTGTTAAATTCACATTTTAGGGTCACATAGTTCCCAAAGATACAAAATTCTGCATGTCAGGCAGAAGTCCTGGCATGCCCAGATACAAACCCTCCCAAACTGTGTAGGCAATCTTTTAAGATGAACTCTTACTCTGTGTTAGAAACACAGCTATTATCTGTTTTGACTTATTCAAAATTGCACAGTGCTGCAGCCGTATAAAATGTATATCAGGGCTGAAAGCTTGAGTAAAGGTTCGGAATCAGAATCAGAAACACCTTTATTACCAAATATTTTTTATACATACCAGGACAACAATAGACATAAACCTATACTAATAAAATAATAATGTTGTTAAATAATATTTTTTATACTTTTTGCTGAAATTGTTTTACTGACAGTATTACATGAGACTGATAATCACATACTGTGCAGATGCCCTCCTCAAACATAGTTTCACGCGATCAAGCTCAACATCTTTCACCAATAGTGACAGAACTGCCCATCCCTCCCTATAACCTCTTTTAGCTCCTAGCGTTGGTTTTTTGACCCATGCCTCAACAATGACACATCTACACCGAGGAAGTGGTGAGCAGACCATTATGCTGCCTTGAAATGGGGTCATGTTTACCGTCAACACACCCCCTGAAAAGTTCCGTGAACATGACCACACATGTCATAACCACAAACTCACAAGTTCCATTTGAAGGCAGAATCAGTCAGACGTGTGTCAGTCAGCAGCGAGGAAGGATGAAGGTCGCTGTGTTATATCTCAGCCTTTGTGAGAAGCATGTTTTCCTCTCTGTGCTTTGACTTAACAGTAGATCTCACAAGAAGTTTTATTGACTCAATCTCAGCAAGTCTAAAATAACGTCCTGAATCTTCTCTTCTCTCTCTGCTGTGTGTTTTTCATCTGACACCAGAAAAAGTAAACAGGTCTTTATGCATGGTTGTCTTTAACTGTTTTGGCTCAAGTAAAATAAAAAAACTTTATTTTAAATTCAGGTTTTCAGTGGGGTAGAGGAGGCCAAAGTCACAAACCTCTGACAATTGAGGTGTTAAAGAACAAGAGATTAAGAAAGAAGCTGTGGTCTCCACGGCTTTATCATTACAAGTTTTTTAGTTTATCATATTGTCTTTGTAAGTTGCAGAAAAGATGTTGATCTTTCAAAGCTATAATTGGTGTTTGCTAAAAAAAATTTTAGTTTAGGAGCTATGCCCTTCCAAATTGAAGGGTTTTACAGCTTTTAGCAGACTTTTCCAGTTTTTTATTTATCTCTATAAGCACAAAAAAGGCACCAAAATGTAGCCACATGCCTTTTCTCCCTAAAAATGTCAAAATCCTGGTCAGTGGATGTTTAGTTTTTTATCTCTGATCCTTAATTGATTGGAAAGTCTCAGTCATCTCCCATTCCCTCTCTGTTGTAGCTGCAGGCTGAGGCTGATCACTAATTCTTTAACTTGCTGTATCTTCCTCCCTGTTTGGAGTTTGGACACAAGAGGTATATTTTCATGCTCAGCTACTCTAGCACAAACTAAAAAGTCCAAAATGTTGGCTGTAAAGCTTTTTCTATTAAGCAAATACACTTTTTGTATCAACACATCTAATTGCTATGGTGTTTGAACTTGATTACAAACTAAATATGGTGACCACAAATTTCTCGGGTCCTAATGTTAGTTCATTATAGCTTTAAACTTTACACAGCTGTTTGTTGTTGGAACTTAATGATGCTAATTTATTCTGCCATTTTTTGGCATCTATCTTCTCCTGTACCGTTTGTCCTACAAACTTGGTTTCAACTTCAAATTGTGCATCTTCTTCATGAGATGGGTGCAATTACCTGTGTAGCTAAATATCTGTAATGGTTGATTTTGTATTATTATTTTTATGCATTTAAAAATGAATGGGAGCTGCACATTGCACCGACATGTGTAGCAATCGCTAAAAATAGCTGGCAGCTCTCACACGCATATTCTTAAGGAAATGCCCATTCTATAGTTCAAAATAACATCCGTAGTGAAACAAGGAAACAACAAGATGTAAAGGTGACAAGCTTGCTGAGTGTCCACACAAGTGCTCCTGCTTGTTCACGTCAACAAAGTCATGAAAAGTTTGCTAGAGGTGCATTTATGATTAAAGTCTCACTTTGGCACCATGTGTCTGTTTCTTGCAGCCGCTCTGAGCGTCCTTCCCAACAGATCCCAGTTCTTTCAGTACGAGTCTGTCTCTCTGAGCTGTGGGCAGCAGGGAATTTCTTCTGAGTGGAGCGTTAAGAGGAACATATCCAAAGACACAAATGAAGAGTGTCTCAAATTCTGGCGAAGAAAAGATGAATCACACTGCTTCACAGTTGACCTTTACCCTACAGACACTGGAGTGTACTGGTGTGAGTTTGCAGCAGGAGAGCGCAGTGAAGCCGTCAGCATCACAGTGACCAGTGGGTTTAAACATTTTCCTCCATACGACTTTCTGTGAGCGACACAAAAGGGTTGTTGTCACCGTAACTGACCAAGGCTTATAGTTTCTGACAGGCAATTTGACAATTCTCAAATGCTGGTTGGGGGCACCTAGTTCAAGAAATACAATCTGTTGTACAGTCAAAAGTTTCTAACAACATTATTTTTTATATTTTCGCAACAAGCAGCTTCTTGTGGTGTACCAGACTGTCTTTTCTAAGTAGCATTTGATGGACAGAGCATGATGTTATGAGGCCACAGAAGTCTCAACCTGCCTCATGTTGAGTTATGAAATTATTGTATGGATACAACACTGTGCCTTGAATAATTGTGTTTGTATGTCCCACAGTGGACGGCATCAACTGATCCAAGTCAAAAATTACACTGGCAAGAAACAATGTTATAAATGATCATGTGTAGATTTCTTAAAGCTTTGTGAGCTCAAAACTTCCTTGTATTTCTGTCTGTCCCTGAGGTGGCACTGTGATCCTGGAGATTCCTGTCCTTCCTGTGATGGAGGGAGACGATGTGACTCTGAGCTGCAGAAACAAGAACATCTCCAACCTCATAGCTGATTTCTATAAAGATGGGCGTCTCATCAGGAGCAGCTCTACAGGAAACATGACCATCCACAGTGTCTCTAAATCTGATGAAGGACTCTACAAGTGCAAATTCTCTGGAGCTGGATCACCAGACAGCTGGCTGATTGTCAGAGGTGAGATAATAAGTTTCATCTGCTTACAAACAACTGTTTTATTTTCCAACTTCAGGCGATGTAATGTGCAGTAAAATATGCACAATATACCCCAAAATGTACCGCTAGTTTGTTACATATCTGAGTTTAGATACCTTTTATTTCAGCATACAGTATTTATGGAAAGTCATTCAGCACTATTATTATGAATACTTAAACAATTGTGAAAGATATCGGCATATACACCATGTAGGATTATAATGTTTTGCAGGAGAAAAGCTTACCTTCTATAGTATTGCATTGTTTTTCCACCTTTCATCAGATGTCTACAGCCGTGCACCTGCTTGGTGCTATTTTGTAAATATCACTGTGAAACTGATTTTCACTCTGTGATCAGAGGTTTATCTTGCATTTGGACTATTTACGCTGGTTTGGGGAATTCAAGAAGTTTAAAATTGGGACATGGCAGCCACGTCATACTTAAGGCCTCCATCCTTAAAGTCTTAACATATGTATGTCATTTGATCGGTTTTAACTTGTAGACTGAAATAAAACTCAGTAATCTCCCTGCAGAGCCAGCAGCTCCTGTAACGTCTGCCTGCAGTCTGATCCATCATGTAGTCGTAGCGAGTCTTTACCTGCTGTTCACCATCGTCCTGGGACACATAATAGACAGAAGAAAGAACAAAAGAGGTGAAAACTAACTCTGATGGTTTTGTTTTGGATGTCCAAAGTTTCTGTTTCATTCATTCTTCTTCTCTCTTTTTCCTTCTTTGTGTTTCTTCTTCAAGCAGCACATCAGCTTGTTGCAGAGGACAGAAACCATCATGTCGTTATGGAGGTGGAATAGATTGGACCACACACAGATATAATAATGTTTATACATGTGTCTGTATTATGTTTCACACGTGTTTATTTCATTTCATGCTCATAAAAGAATAAATGCTTTTCTGTGTAAAGAAGTAGCCTGTGACAAACTGACTGGCAATTGTATTCATATTGCACATTTGATTACAGTTTGACTGACTGCTCTGTACATTAAAGTGCACACAGCAACAAGTAAACAATATTATAATAATTGATATACAACAAACACAGACAACCACCCACTTTTCACACAACCATCCCACAGACACACAAACACACAATAACTAATCACAAGCCTGAGAAAACAGACATGTGGACACAGCTGTGACAGAACTCAGATTATCAGATTATTATTATTAGCTGGTTGGTTCCAGAGAAGCAACAAGAGAAGCTAAAAGCACCTTCAGCAGATCTGGAACCAGTTAGAAAACCACCACCTGTCAGACATATACTGGGCAGCCAAACCATTAAGTTTTTTTTATTGTGTTTTTATTATGGTTTCATTTTCATGCATAATTAAACACACCAGAGAGAGAGAAGAAAACATCAGCTCATCAATACAAAATCAATAATTGTATTCAGCACATGTGAAAAAGAAAAAAATAAACAAATAAATAAACTTTTCATGGCTCAGATGTACACACTTAATGAACTACACCCTCAACACACCCAGAACTGGTAAATTTAATGTAACTTTCATTTAATCGTATTTGTTTATTTGACACAGGCAGTGCTCATATCGGCAAAGTAGCTCTAAATGAGCCAGAGTTAGCTCGACAGGCTAAGTTGTCCCTGGCCAGTTACTAAAAAGGCAACCTAAAAAAAGAATTATAATTCAATATTAAATTATAATTCATATGACTTATTACAGTCAGCACATAAAAGCTATGTACAGCCTACAGAATAATAAACAGGTATTGTGCATAACAATAACTAGGCCTACCCTGCGAGACAGTGTTTTCAGGTAACTTGGACAGGAATAGATTTTTCCTGTATGACAGGAATCTCCCATTCCCAGCTGCATTTGAATGTAGCATTAGCCCGTCTAAAGAGCTGTCCGTGGTGCTGAAACCCAGAAACCCCTGAACGTCTTCTCCGCCCTCATTAAATATTCAGATTTTCCGTCTCGTGCCGTCACGTGGGATCACGTGAACCCATCATCATTTATATTATTAATCTCTAAAAAGCACCACGAGAGCACGACGAGAGCGTGCTCTGGCTGTGACGCGAGGAGGCTCGAGTGTGGCGGAGGGCGACGTGATAACGTCACAGAAAACGTGACGCCACGCTCTCAGCCGAAGATCGTTTGTGTTCGAAAGACCACTGTTACCACGGCAACACCAGAGAAACAGCCAGCTTAGAGCCGCCCGGCGAGACTGTTTTCAGGTAACATGAAGTGTTTTAACACAAATATATGAGACAGAGAGAAACAAAGCTGCTATGTTAGACAAAAAAATAAATAAAGTAGGAAGCTGTCAGGAACTATAATCATCTTCTGAAACCTCAATGTGTTGACAGCCTCAGTTTTCTTTGCGGTATATTAGGAGATTACAGAACAATAGATCAATTTAGATTCAAATTTAAAAGGGAAAAATACAAACTGACATTATAAACACAAGACAATATAACGTATATATAACAGCTACACTATATTAATAATGTAATAATGTAATGTCGGCTACATTACACTGTTTTACAGGTAGTGGTTGAAGAAGTAGTCCTGCAAGTCATGCATTTAAACAGTAGACTAGGCTACTTAAAAGTAAAAGTAGCCTAGTCTACTCATAGTGCGGTAAAATGTTCCCTGTCAGTGTTTCACTCTTGTATCTGATGTTTCTGGATCAATATTCCTGCCGCATTACATATGCCTGGCCTATGTTACATTTTGCTGCTGTAGATGTTTAAGGTTGAGCTATTAACTCATTTGTCCTGCTGGGTAGTTTAATCTATAGAAATGCATCATGGTCTATAAAATCATCAAGTGTTTATAGCGCCGCTGTCCTGTGAGAACTGTAAATCTCTGAAAGTCAAAATTTATTTTTATTTATCTTAAGAAAGAGGAACAGGAACTCTTCATCCTTCAGTTTATCAGAAACATGCACTTTTAATTTTTGAAGTAGGCCTGCTCAAATAAAGAAGCCTAGAAGTAGCCTACCTTTCAAATTATAGGCAGCTTACATCGACATGTGGAGTGAAAAAGTTGGATCGATGGCAACAATGAACAGTTCAACCACAGACTGTAGAGTTCAACCAGCAGCTTTTTATGGTTAATGCCATGGGAAATAACAAACTGTTATTATTAGCCTAAACGCTGTTATTTTAGTTTGCTATACTGATCAAAATGATCTTCTCCTTTTTCTTCTATAGTACAGTAGGCTTACTGAGTCCACCACTTTCTGCGTTCTTCCTCCGATGTTCCTGCAGGCTGCAGACTTGTTTACCATTTGGGGGATCCATCTCATCATAACTAGACGATCTTTGTCTCCCTCTCTCCCTCTCTCTCTCTTCCTCTCTCTCCCTCCCTCTCTCTCCCTCTCTCTCTCTCTCTTCCTCTCTCTCCCTCCCTCTCTCTCCCTCCCTCTCTCTATCTCTCTCTCTCTCTCTCTCTCTCTCTCTCAGACTGAAAATAGATCCAGCTGGGTTTGGTCTGGCCACCATCGGCTTCACCACTTTGACCAAAATAAAGGGACAAGATCGACGCCTGGCGACCGTTAACCGGAGGATTTACCGCCGTTTTTTGGTGTCTCAACAGCCTACATATACTTAAAAAAAATCTTATTTAGCCTAGGCTATATATTTTTGTTTTTCTTCCCGACCGAAGTGATGTCTGTCGCGGGGTTGAAGAAGCAGTTCCATAAAGCCACCCAGGTAAGGAGAGACCGTGCAGTCTGTCTGTTTATGTCTGTGTTGGCTGTCTCATTCACATTTCATACATAATCTCTTCTTCTGATGCTTCATTTCGCGGGGAAACCGTTAGATTGATGGCGCATGATGTGAAGTAAACATTGCATTTTTAAATGCACTAATATCACTAGAAAACGTGATTTTATCTTTAATAAACGCATTAAATTCTGCTTTTATTCTTCCATTTAAAGCGCCATTTGCACATGCAAATTGGAGATATATATTTATGTTCAGATTTTAATTGAAATTAAGCTGTTTAAATCACATTAAACATAAATGTAACGGGGATTTCTGGAAAGAATACAGGCTGTTGTCTCGCGGTGTTTTAGTGCGGGTTTGCGTGCAAAAGCGGGGTATACCCCCCTCACACACACCCACGCACACGCACGCACGCACACACACACATGTATTATGTAACGGTATGAGTTGAAAGTGTGTGTGTGTGTGTGTGTCTGAAGAGCTGATTGGCTGTCTGCACACAGCAGGGAATTCCCTCCATCCTCCTTTTTACATCCCTCTGTTTATCTTTATCTTCCCGACATCCCTCCATCACCACCCTTAGGCTATGTCCTTTCCACCTCCCCATCTTCCTTATTCCTGTAACTGTAGGCTACACATCCATCCCTCCATCATCCCTCCATCGTTATGGCGCTCTGCCTTCCCTCTAAACTTTCTTCCATCCCTTCATCTTCTTTTATGAGGCATTTGAACATGCTTCCATCTCTTTTCATTCATCCACCATTCTTGTAACCAGTCCTTCATCCTTCCATCATCCGCCTCTCCATCTTCTTCTATCATCCTTCTATACACGCATCCCTACATCTGTCTTTTCTCATTTCCCTCCATCCGGCTAACTTCTTTTATGGTTCCTCCACCTTCCTCACATGCCGCCGTCTATCTTCATCCATCCGTTATTCTTCTAAGTAGTCCATCTCCATTTTCCTTCTTTTCGTTCTGTAGTCATCCCTCCATCATCTTCTTTATTGTCCTCTGTTTACGTTACTTCCTTCCCTCCATCTGTACATCCTTTCTGTCAGCCCTTCATCTTCCTTTTCCACCTGTAGTCATCCCTCCACTAATTCCCTCTAAATATTCCTCCATCCTCCTCTACATCATCGTCATCAGCATCAGTCTGTCCTCCTTTCTTTTCATCTCTCCATCCTTACTTCATCTTCTTTTTGATGCTTCTAAATATCCCTCATCCTGTCTCTTCATCCATCCAATATTTTAGTAACCACCTGTCTTTCCCTCTGTAGTCATCCCTCCATTATCTGTCCATCTCACATTTCTTCTACCCTTTCATATTCCTGTAACATAATTTCAAACCTCCATTCCTCTGTCAATTATTCCTTCATCTTCTGTACATCCCTGTTTTTTCATCTTGTCTTTCCTTCCACTCTTTTGTCATCCCTCTAAACATCTCTCCATCATCCATTCATCCTATTTTATGATGCCATCCCTCTTCTCTACATCCCTACATCCATCTTTAGTTGTCTTGCCTTTTCATCCATTCATCAGCCCTCCATCTTCCTTTTTCTGTCTTCTATTCACCCTGTGGTCATCCCTACATCATAAACACCCCTCTATCCTCCCTTTCTCTTCTTTTACACCTCTTTTATTATGCCTCTTAACATCCCTCCATCATCCCTGTAAACACCCCGCTGTCGTCCCTCATTCACATCCCTCCATCACTCTTGAATGCCACTCCTCCATCTTTCTTTTCCTGAAATCACACCATCCTCTCTGGTTGCTCATAACATCCCTCCATCCCTTTTTATAATCCTTCTAATTGCCTTCTCATCCCTTCATCTCTTTATGGCGCCTTTCTGTTTCTCAATTTTTTTCTTTAAGTGGTCCTTTCCTTCCTCCCTTATCCCTTCCATCTTCCTTTTTCTCCATGGTCATCTTTCTTGTTCATCATTCCTTCATCATTTTTACATCCCCCATCTTTCTTTTAAGCCTGCCAGTCATTCATCTGTCTTCTCTCTAAGCATATTTCCCCCCACTCTGTCATCCCTTCATCACCTTTCCACAAATATTATAATCACTTTCATCACTTTATTTTCCATTTTCCTTTTAGTCATCCCTCCATCATCCTTTGAGACGATCTTCCATCATCCTTTTCCTTTAACCCTCTTTACATCCTTCCATCCTTCCTCCCTCCTGTCTTTATTTTCATCTTTCATCCATTTGTAAACATCTGTCCACCCTTTATCTTTTCTGTTGGAGCATCCAGCCTCACCCATGTTGCTTTCATCTCACCATTACCCCTGTAAACATCCTTCCATCTTTCCATCGACCCTCCATCACCTATCCTTCTATCATCCTTCATCCTGCATCAAACTTTGACATTTAGCAGCCCGTCCTCACCAGACAAACAGCCCTAAAGGTCGATTATGCAGAAGCTTATTATGACCCATATTTACATTTTTAGCCAGGAAGAAGTCAGGTGACGTAGAGCGAATAAGTCTGTGTCAGGAGGTGGTGACCTGGTTTTAACTGCCTATTACTGTCCTTTCATAATGTCAAATTTCTGAATGAACGTAACAACAAAAGTGCGGGTATGAAATTCAAAAGCAGCATCTTTGAAACATCACACACTTTCT